GGTCCACTGGCTAGGAGTGCAAGGGTGAGAATCTGATTCCAAACCCCAGCACCCATGTAAAAAGCAAGATATGGCTGCCTGGCCTTGCAACCCCAGTACCGCAGTGGGTGGAGACAGGAGGCTCTCTGGGGTGTGCTGAATGCCAGTCCAGGTTCACTGAGAGAACCTGTCTCAAATGAGTAAGGCAAAGAGTGATAGAGCAGGATGCACAGTGCCCTCGCTTAGCCTTCAAAAAGCATTCAAGGGCAAGCACAATGGCATGCACACATGCACACATGGTGAACACACACACACACACACACACACACACACTACAAAATATAAATAAATGAACATCCATAAAAATGGTTTTTAAAATGAATGAATTGGGGCAGAGATGGGTTGAAAAAGAGGAGATTTTAGTAAGACTTAAGAAAGCTATCACTGCCCTCTTGGAACTGGGCGGTTGCACCTTTTGCTAATAAATGTACCTTGAGAGACTAATTCAGTTTCTACTTCAAAGATGAGAGTAGAAATTTTCAGGGGCTGACAGGAAGAGATTGGACTGATTTAATTAGTTCATGATTTCCTCAGCAGGAAGCATTCTCTCAGAAAACGCCTTTATCTCAGCAAGTCTCAATTACTCCTTCTTATGGAAAGGCTGTTTAATTTTCACCAACCACTTTGCTTGTCTGTGGTGGTATATGTGGTGATGACTTAAGAGCTTCTAAAGAGCTGGATGATTTAAAGCTGTGTTTGTTCCGTGTCTCTGTGTGTGTGTGTGTGTGTGTGTGTGTGTGTATGTGCATGCATTCTCACATCCTCACTTTCATATGTGATAGATAATAGCTAATATGTCCTGAATGATGACTGAACACTTCACACAGGTCTAACTCTTCTTTTTTTTTTTTTGGTTTTTCGAGACAGGGTTTCTCTGTGTAGTTTTGCGCCTTTCCTGGAACTCACTTTGTAGACCAGGCTGGCCTCGAACTCACAGAGATCCGCCTGGCTCTGCCTCCCGAGTGCTGGGATTAAAGGTGTGCGCCACCACCACCTGGCAGGTCTAACTCTTCTAATTGTCCCAATGTTTTAGCTACTCAGACACCTAGATAGGAAGGTTTTGCCACTCAGGAAACGGAGAGTCAGAGTATTTAAGTAACCAGCTTGAGAGGTGACAGGGCTAATAAGATAGAGGGCTAAGATCCAAACTTAGGTGACCTAGCTTTCAGATCGATGATGTTCCATGCAGAAACTTTCTCTCAGTCATGTCCTTCAGAATTTCCATTTTCCATCTGAGGCTAAACATATGGAACACATACAATTTTTTTAATGAGCCCTACCATCACCACAGAGCCCTAGTAGAGTCTCAACTCTGTGCTGGATGATGGAGAAACATATTAAGGATGGAAATGGCAGAGCAGTTGACCTGATTTCAGTACTCAGAAGACTGAGGCACGCTGCTTTGATAGAAATGATGTTTTGAGAGCTGGAGGAATAAAATGCCTCAAAGCAAGAAACCTATACTGTTCCACTCCCTTCAATGGCTCAGAATTCTGACTATGCTAAGGAAGGGGCAAAAGGTGAGTCAAAACTCCAGAACTCACAGATGACATGCAAGCATGCTTGCCGACATCTGCTTTTTCATCTTAGTAGCCTTAAAATCATAACTTTAGGTTGTCTTGCAATTTACCATCCATCGTTGGAGTGAGCTGATTTAAAGATGTGGAATTTCCAAGAAACAGACATTTTAGAGGGTTAACTGGAAGCCATGAGACAATTCCTTTGGTAGACATATCACCCTCTCTCCTCCATGAATGCCTTGCATATGGTGCATTTTTATATAAAATAAAATCTGACCATGATTTGAAAAACCACCAAGTTTGCCAGGCCACTTCATCATTAGTACTCTGACCTCCAGAAAATGTGAAAATAAAGAACCATTCCATAGCTCTTGAGACACAGGAAGCAAATTAGCATGATCTGAAACATTGGGGAAGCCAGATGTGGCCAGAGACATGAGAAACCTGAGCAGCTGCCTGGATGTGCTCAATGAAGAGGGGGACACATCGATTTGTCTCCACGGAGCAGGACCAGATATCAGCAGAATGCTAAGTAGCCTGTCGGTGGAGCTGACTGATCTGAAGAGATGTGACCTCCTATGTCAAAGTCGAGGTGTTCTTGGCCTTCAAAATTCCAGAAAAAAATACAAATATAAATGAAAAAGCAAAGACAAGGCCCACCTCTAGCCTCAGAGGCATTGCCTCAACAATCATTAATGCCTTCTGAGTTACAAGCATCCCACTGGAGGCTGGCAGTGACATATAGATCATCTAAGACTGGACTGCTGCTATTCTCTACATAATAATCACCATAAAGTTGCAAAGTTATATGATGTCAAGAATCACAGAGTTGAGAGAGTCCTTTCCCATAAGCTTGCGTCTTTTTAAATAGAAGAATAACAGAATAACACATGTGTCTTTTTCACTTTTGTGCCTTTGTCTAGAATGGCCTGTTCTTAGCTACTTGGAAGCCCATTATAAAATTCAAAGTCCAAAGTGCCTCTTCTTTAGCTTCGTCTCTAGGTGATTTACATAAATGCAGAAGTAGAGGTGATAAACCATGGCTACTGACTTGTGATTTCCAAGACATCGGCCTGCACACTTTTATTTTAATTGAATTGCCAGACAAAGTGTGGGTTAGCACTGTGGGTAAGAAGCATATACTATGACTAATTCCTCTTTATAACCCGATTGTCAAGCACAATGCCTGTCACAAAGCAAGTACTCAGAGCGGACATGTGCAATCAATGAAGTCAATGCAGCTTGATTTCTCCTTTTAGGTTAATTATCATTTCGACAACTTGGAGAATCAACTTCTAAGTTTTTGTATGCTCTCCTTGGAAATCTCTAGGTTCCTGCAAACACATTCAATGGTGGGTCCCAAGATATAAACACTCTGATAGGCAGAAATACTCTTTTTTGAGTAGCATCTCTTTGAAATTTTCATGAATTAATGGCCTGTTAATAAACAGGATAGAGTTTAAAACTAGAAGGATTTACTGTCAAGATGATAAAGGAATAATAACTTGAAAAAATATTTTGTATATTTATACACATGTCCAAATTCAGACTAGAAAAAAAATTATCTATTTTAAGGACTGTGACCAATTTTCTAATAACTTCCTGCACATTTACACCTCCATAATTAACATATTCAAATGGAACATGTGTCCTCTCCTTATTAGAAGTAAGCTCCATTGTTTAGAATTATATGATATTATCTAATCAAGAACTTGGAATGATATAGACCTTTCTTGCCAGTTGTCCTTCCTGAGGAGGTCCTGGGAGAAGATCTATAAATAACAGAATACAAATCAAAATGCCACTTGATTAATATTTGAGTCGGTATCCTATAACTTGAAGAAATATTTTGATTGCTGGAATATGAAATAAGCCATCCATTTTTCTGTGGTTTAAACTTAAGTCTCGAGATGAGCGTGTTCAATCTCCCTATGCAAATAATGGAATGAGAGAGAGATGGATGGGCACATTTGCAGAGGACCTGTTCTTACCTACTCAACCCTGTGCTCACCAGAGTTGAAAGAAAGGGAGTGAGCCATGCCTGAGGGCCTGGTTCTCAGATACATACTCCACCTAGTTATGTACCAAGGGGAATAAAGAGGAAGATATGAGCCCAAGTTTCTCTGGCTTTGATATACCATAACTTTGGATATCTTAAGTTTTAGATGAATTGCATTAAATGTCCTGCCTCCTCAAAGAAAGATCTGGAAAATAAGTAAATAGCAATGGACCCAACATGAAAGACATCCTCACGTTCTACTTCTGATTCTTGGCTTCTTGTTCAAAGGCAGCCATTTAAGGTCCAATTCTCCACAACCTCCACTTCTGCCTCTCTCTCTCTCTCTCTCTCTCTCTCTCTCTCTCTCTCTCTCTCTCTCTCTCTCTCTCTCTCTCTCTCTCTCTGTGTGTGTGTGTGTGTGTGTGTGTGTGTATACTACATCCACAATTAACAAGTGCAACTAGGTCCTGGGGATGTTACTAAATACACTATCAAGCACAGGACAATATTCCTCACAACAAAGAATGACTCAGTCACAAGTAAGAACAGTACTGTTAGAAATATGTTTGAGTTTGCCAAGAAAGAGACCACCATTCCAATCAAAGTCTCTCAACAACGCAAAACTGTACTGTTGATCAAGAGGGCACCCTGCTCACTAAAGCAGGGGAGGAAGCACATGGCGAATTCAATTTTTAATTCTAATGCAGGTGGCAGCTGTGCCTTTTCCTCATTGGCTGGCATGTGATCTCATGGTCTTTCCCCTTAGAAACTTAGCCCAAAAGGAATGGAGGGTAGAGGGATCAGCCATTTTAATCGGCAGGGCCTTTGTACATACAAAGATTTTCCAGATTTGGGGGAGGGGATTAAAACATTTGCATAAAAGTCTTACAAGGTGGGGAGATAAAAATATTTTAATTCCTCCTCAAAAACACAAGCTTTATAGTAGTTGGCAGAAAAACCCATATTTAGTATTTATTACAGTGCCCAGGGTCAGAGACTGTAAGGTAGACTACTGCCCACAGAAGAACCCTGTTCTTTACGTTCATTAGTCCATGAAGCTCAGATCTGAATGTCTTCATAACCATAGAAACTTCACTTTCCAATGAGGAACCTGAAGTTCAGAGAAACAGGACGAGGTCCAGGTTAGAGATGTGGAAGAAAGCAGAGAGAGACGGAAGCCATGTTTTCTAACGCATGTTCTCCACCCCACTGCCGTCTCTCCTCCACCCATGCCTCTGCAGCTCCTCCCCTGCACAGCTCTGTTGTTCACCGCACGACCCAGATCCATCTTTCATCAAATCACAGCCTTTCCAATTCACTCTTTTTTCTTCTCTTCGCCAGATTTTCATTCAGAGCCAAGCTCAGTGCAGTCTGTGAATAGCAGGGCATATTCAGTCATGGATAGGATACATCCATCAAGGAACCACTATCAGAGCTTTGCTTCTCAAACTCCACATTTTATTTATCATATTCTTATGAGTAATACAAACTAATAATTGGTACACACATATGCAGTAATGACCAACTGTTGAAACAGATTATTTCGTCAAAATAAGAGAGAGGGGGTGGGTGGGAGAGAACAGAGTACACAGGAAAATACATTCAAAGTGAAAGCATAGGTAAGCACAAGGGGAAGGTAGATCTTGCATTCTGACTTGGCTTGCTTCTCTCTCCAGCTTCCTTTATGTCACAGTCTTTAATGCACCTGTATAGTGCACCATTGGCAACAAGGGCCTTCCCCAAGTTCTTCAGGGTGCTTACTCACTGATTTGATTCTTCTAGAACCTGGCTCCTCCTACATCCCACCTAATTAGCACATATTTTTTTTGTTCCCATCTCAGCTGAGATGCTGGTTTCTCTGAGAAATTTTTCATTGACCTGCCTCAATCTCACAGTCTGTCTTTGCATCACTGGCTAGTTCTTCTAGCGTTTCTCAGTTGTCTTCATCTATACACAGTCTGTCTCCACCACGAAAGGAAAAAAAGAACTCTGTAAGGGCAAGTGTTACGTCAGCTTCATTCACTGATGACAGTTTGAACAACCCCACTAAAGCTAACACTGAAATGTAATGCTCCTGGGGGACTCATGAGGTAGAAGCCCACCCTGACTGTGGTTTGGGGTGGTGGAACCTTGGGGAGGGAATGTCCAATGAGAACACAAAGATGGGGCACTAATTAAGTGGGACTGTGGCTTTGTACAAAGAAGGGCAAGAAGTAAGCCAGGATGTTTAGTCCTCGCATCCTGTGATGCTCTGCCCTGCCTAGGGACTCTGTGAACATCTATTACCATCCCCCAAAGCTACTGCTCATGAAGAGGCTTCCCAGCCTCCAGAGCCATAGGCCACATAAACTTTCTTTTTCCGTTACCTGGTGTAATTCAATTACAGAAATAAAAAACAAAGCTATTCCCCAGTCCTCATCCTAAGTCTGGTATCAAAAAATACCTTTTGAATGAGTGAAAAAATAACATTTTAAAATTACCTATCCTCTTTGATTTTTTGTTTTATCTATATAATAATAGTATTAAGTTGAAATTCTAAAAGTTATACTGTTAGAAAATGCAGTACAGATTGAAGAACAGTGATTTATAAATATTGTGCAAAACTTGACATTTATCTTAATTCTTTGACTTAAGTCCTTTCCCTGTGACCTGGATAAGAAATATCCTGTTCTGTGCCTCCTCGTTTTCTTGCATTATTAAATTACAATTTATGAAAACATTCAAAAGCTAGCAATTTCAGAACTTTTTCCTTTTCCCATACCCTTTGCAGAGAGAACTAAAATAGAATTCAGTAGTTTACACATATAGCATCGTAATTTACATGCAGGATTAAAAGAGGGAATTCTACCATTTCGTAAATAATGAATGTCTGTTTGGAGATGGTGGAAGAGTCGAGTTCTAATGCCTCAAGATTCTGTCCAAATATTTGTGTCTCATGCTGAAGATCCCTGGAAAGGCATTCCTGAATTCAGGTATACCCATTATTGTAGGGAAGTGAACCATTTATTTATTACCTGTGGTTGCAAACATCTGCTATTTCATTTCCCAGTTAGGATTAATCTCTGTATATATTCCTATGATTGGAAACAACTACTGATTATGATATAATCCAAGAAACTGATGAATCTCGTACATCTTCATTCATGGTGGGTGTGGATAAATAAAAAAGAAGAACATGCATGTTACATTGCCGTGACTTGCTCATATCTATTTCGCTGGTTGCTTAACTGTCTGTTACCGAAACTTTACAGCAGTTTCTCATGGCCTGTGAGACACAGGAAGCTGGCAGTGTGGCTGAGCTAGTCCTGTGGGTCTTCACAGAAAAGGCAGCTGGGATCCTGGTCTGATGCAGATTCTATTTGAATGGTGAGGGAGTGCAGGTCAAAGCTAGTGCTGAGGGCTCTGGCAATCCCTGTCCGGACTGACTGGCTGTCCTGGCTAGCAGCTGTTGATAAAGAAACACAGGAATATTAATGCAGATAATACATTCTCTCTCTCTCTCTCTCTCTCTCTCTCTCTCTCTCACACACACACACACACACACACACACACACACACACACACAGAGGGAGAGAGAAAGATGCAGGAGCTGATTGATTTCAGCTTCAAGTGTTCGGTGCCCAATGGGTGCTAAATGCTAAAGAAGCATTTGGCTCTAGCACTTAGCTCTGTTCACACAGACAAGGCAGGGGAACGTGAGTGCAGTAAAGTACCCGTCACTATGCATACTCTTCCTACCCAATTACCTCTGCAGTACAGGGAAGGAGCGACAAGGCTTGGAAAGAAGCAGGACCAGACTGAGCTATTGTGTCTTACTGGGCCCTGCTCACCAGCCCCCACAAATCTCCCTTTTGCAGCCCTTGGATTTAATTAGAATTTATATCAAGACAAGTGGCAGGAACAAGGAAACATTTAGAGCTCCCCCAGACCTTCCCTAGAGCATCCACCCTCACTGCCATCCTTTTTCCTGCCTTAAATAATATCAGAAGGCTGCAAAGTCGTCCCCCCCCCCCGCCCCGCCCGGCCAGGGTAACCTGATTGTTTGCTATATTCTTCCCCTTGGGGTGAGATATTGGTACGGAGAAGATGGGGACATCTGACAAAGCACAGCCTTCAAAAGACTGTCACTGATATTCCTGTCCCTTGCCTCTAAGTAACTTCTTCAGTCATCTTTTAACAGCCTAACATAGTACCCCTGGCCTGAGCTTTCTCCTAAGAGGATGAAAAACCTCCTACCTCCCATTTCCCCCAGTCTGAAAACTTATCATGGACATAATCCTCTTCCACGTGGAAAAAAACAGGCTTGAGTCTATTCTATGAAGTGTGTTGCATGACCACGGGATGGCTGACCATCTTTCAACACATCTATTAGCTTGTGGGAATTTCAAAGTTGAGCTTCCATTTCCCTTCTTTTGTGTTCAGGGTCAGAAAACCATCTTTTACACAGAAGATACTCCATTGAGATTTTATTTTTGTTGTCGAATTCATTCCTATTATTTAGACTGAGATGGCGCCCAGACAAACAGGTGGAGTCATTTTTTTCCCTGAGGCCAAGGGCTTGAAGTTGGGGAGATATTTTAGCCGTTTGTACTGTCTCTCTACCCTATGCAATCAGCCCAGAGGATGCCATTGGGATCACTGTTGCTATGACAACATTGATAAGTGGGTTGGTTTTCAGAGACGCTGGGTAGAGCAACACATTTTACAGTTGTTTTGACAGACAATAGATAGTAAGGGCAGCTCTAAAAGGAAGAGAGATGACTGAGGTCTCAGGGTATGGAGTGAATCTTGCCCGGGGTGTTTACAAAACTCACTGACCTGTAGCAACATGAACAGAGAGAATCACTTGGTTCACTGTAAGCGACCAGATGTGCAGGCTGTGTACAGACATCACACCATCAACTGCGAGGATGAGCTCTTTCACACTGTTGTAACTCAGGCCCTTTGGAACACCTGTCAAAGGAAGAGTGTGACCCTCTTGCTACTTATCTGGATGCACTTGCTTGGGAAGCCTAAGTCAGCTGCACAGTCTTCAGCAAAACACCAACTCGCATCCAGTCCCTTCTTTGGTTTTTTTCCTCACATGTTTAAAAATCTGACTCTGTCAAAGGCCTTGTCACCAATCTCAAGTCCACAGAGAAAATACAGAATTTGCTAGGCAACATCTAGCAATAGTAATCATCCTAACAGTGCTTTTATCTTTGCACAGTCTCTACAAAACATAATGAAACAACATGGGGTTTGGTATTATACATCTTGGGTTTACATTCGGACTACAATTATTGTGAATTTCCTCAAATTGTGATGCTTCTCTGATCATATGCGTAGTAAAATATGGCCAGTAAGAGCAATGCGTATATCATGAATGATGGGGGGACTTCAGGGAACAAGCCTGTTCTTTGTAAATTATAATGCTATGCAATGTCGGTTGTCCAATAAGTCACCCCAGGAACTGTGCTAAGAGGAAATGCTAACGTTGCAATGATAGCTTATCACTTGGTTTGCAAAGTCAGCATTCAACATCTGGGTCACAGACTATCATAACTTGACTGTCACTCTTCTTTCTAAATGAATCATGTAGAACACATGGGAAGATGGGAAGGCCACCAGCCAATCAGTTTGGCTTTTATTTTTTTCAAATTTATTTTTGACAGGTTCTCACTATGTAATCCTAGATGGCCCAAATTTACTATATAGTCCAGGCTAGTCTTGAACTTATAACAGTTCCCCTGCCTGTATCTCCCAACTGCTGAGCTTACAGGCATCTGCTGCAATTCCTGGCTAATTACCTGTTCTTTGGGACTGAACTAGTCTCAGCATGTCACCCTTAACTACAGAGATGCAGTCTGGGAAGCTCAGAAAACAGCTGTACGCCAACTGTGTTATGCCAGATGTAAAGAAAATCACCAAAATACAGAATAGAGGAAGGAGACGTGCCCAGCAAGCTTTAGTCATGAGCTGCTTTCTTGACTGTGAGAGTTACTACTATCATCTATTTTTGATTGACTGGAGAACCCATGGAGCCAGGTAAAGCAGAAGAATATATGGGTCACACTGGTTATGTGCGATGAGGTTAATCAGCAAAAATCTGCTTTGGACTAAGAACAAGCTTGAAACATCATTTCCCCAGCTTCCCACTGGCCCCTCTTCCTCAGCCGTGTTGAAGTCCCATGCCTCTCTTCTGTTGTAACACATGCTGTTCTATTCTTTCTCATGGTTTAGACAATTCTCCTTTCACTCACGTGTAGCTCCTCCCCCATTAGGAGAGGGTCCATCACTGCTTTGCTCAGCTTTGTAAGTCGAATTTTCCGGACATGATCTCACAGGGTTCAGCAAGCACTTACTAAACAAATAAAAGTCATCACAGTGTCCCTGTACTTTGAGGCACATGAGACCTAAGTGTTCAACTATAATGCTAAGAGGAAGACTCCACTTGTATTTCTTAGATTTTTTTCCAGTATACTTGGGGACATATTTATAATTTTTTCAATATTTATGCTTGGTATCTTTACATTGTGAGACAGAATTTAACACATACATATGCTGTTTCTATTTATTCCATATAAGAAAAAAAATCCGATATTAAAAATCCTTATCACTCTAATTTTGCCCTATAATACAAATCAACAGAGAACATGCCTTGCAGTCATCCCTTTAAGATCAAAGGGGAAAGGGAACATCAATCCTAGGAAAAATGGTGAAAGCACTCCTACCTTCCATGAGTAAGATGGAGAAGTCTTTTAAGATCATGATGGTACTGACCAAAACCAGGATGGAAAAGATAAATGTGCACACTGGATCAGCAATTTTGTAGTCTGGCTGGAAAACACAACAGCTTTGGTTAACTGAGTTCAAACTTTCCATCAAGAAACCGGGCGGTGGTGGCGCACGCCTTTAATCCCAGCACTCGGGAGGCAGAGCCAGGCGGATCTCTGTGAGTTCGAGGCCAGCCTGGTCTCCAAAGCAGGTTCCAGGAAAGGCGCAAAGCTACACAGAGAAACCCTGTCCCGAAAAAAAAAAAAAAAAAAAAAAAAGAAACCCAGTTAATAAATTAAGTAAACCTCTCTGAGTCCTTCTTTTTCTACTACCCATTTACCTTCCTCAAAGGCAAAATGCTTTTCCTGGGGACTCAGTCACAGAAGAAGCTTTAAATTTCTAGTGACTAATGAATGGAGGCTTCTGGAAATGTGCTCACAATAACTTAAGAATTAAACTGAACGATATTCTTAAGTATTCTCTTAAAAGAACCTGATTTAAAGTTTCTCAAATTAATGTGAGAACACTGTAGTCATGGAAATATGTGAAAAGGTGGTCACACTAGCCAATGCTTTTCAACTTTAACCAGGGTGAGGGAGGAAATGGGAGTGTCATTTATTTTAGCCTTTAAAGCACAAACCAAAGCATGAGTCTTGATTCTTGAGCCCTCCCCCATATTTTATATATATACATTCCTCTCTTTCTCTTTCCCTCCCTCCATTAATTGATATCCTTGATACTGGAGTGAAATATGTGCTATTCTGATTGCAGTGCTGTAGTGACGCTGAGGGACACAGAAAAGTCTATGCTCCACTTCCCTTGGGAAATGTAGCATCGACCTAACCCTTGTGTGGGACTCAAGTTTTTTTTTTTTTTTTGAAGTTGTTACATGGGATTTTATTAGTTCCACAACTAAGAAAGCCATAAATCAAAGTATTTACCAACTACATGGTGGAGGCCATGGACAGGCGGTTGGTTACAGCAAAGTTGGGAAGATCCCACTATAGGTTTCAGGTGCTATCTGATGACATTCTTAGGTTTTGGATTGCTGAAAACTAGTGGTCTGTTAAGAATGCATTGCAAGTTCGTTTTTTTATTAGTTGAAATAGATTGGTTAATACAATCTATTCCAATTATTGTTTCCCGTCCCCCAACTCCTCCCAGATCCTTCCCACTTCCCCACCTACCCAAATCCACACCCTGTCTTTCTCCCTCTCATCAGGGTACACATAGGCACCTAAAATAATAATAGTAATAATAATAATTGATAGCAACAATAATAAAAGATAAAATAAAACAAACGGAATAGGCCAAGACAAACAAACAGAAGAAAAAGAGCCAAAGAAAAATCTTAAGAAGCATAAATAGATGCAGAGACTCACACATTCATTCACACAAAAGCCCCGTGAAACACAAAACCAGAAGTCATAATACATACACAAATGATCTGTAAGATTTTTTAGAAAGTGCCCTGACAAAGCACTATGAGACAAAGAACCTCCAGCAATGCCACTGATTTCATTTTGTTGTGGCATCTACTCCTGGGCATGGGGCCTGCCCTTCAGAATGGTGAAACTCCACTGGAGAAACTAATTTTTCATGTAGGCGTGCTTATCAATTGGAATAGCTTCTGGGCTGGGGACGGGGGCTTGTGTCCTGTCCCCTTCTGAGCACTGGGACCACACCAGGACTAGGTCTCAGCAGGATGTGTGCATGCTGCCACAGTCTGAGTTCATATGTACACGGGTCCCATTGGGTTAGAAGGCTTTGTTTCCTTGGTATTCTCCATCCCTTCTGGCAAACTCAAACTGTTAATCTTTATGGTTTTAAACTGTCTTTGCCTTTGACTTGAAGCTTTTATTTTACTTTAAAAGTTTTTATTTATTTACTGACTTGAAGTTTTCAAGGTGTGTTTTCTCTATCTGAGTTCAAGAATTCTTTTACTTTCACTTACGTATTTGAACATTTTAGGAAAAAACACTATTCTCTCCAAAATGAAAAATCACCATAGCATGATAGAAAAAGGCAGAGCTGAGTGCTGTTTTTGGCCCCACTCTCTCTGTGTCCCAAACACACGTCTCTGTTGGTAAGTATTTACATGTTTAGGTTGGGAGACCTTTCTCCTTTCTCATTTTGACCCAGAGCTCTGCTTTGGGGAAAAAGAAGCTCCTCCCACACTGAGAACAATGCAAATAGGTCCATAAATCAAGTGCTCTATCCTTTCCCAGCCAAGCAGTAGGCACAAGTCCCAAACTCAGAAAAACCAGACACCCTCCCGTAAAATGTGATTCTCAGAATGCTGGAGAGATGGCTTGGGGGTTAGGAGGGAGTGCTGCTCTTGCAGAGAACCTGAGTTCACTTCCCAGCACTCACATCAGGCTCCAGAAAATCCAGTTCCTCTGATCACTATGGGTACCCACACTCATGTGCACATACTCACTCAGAGACACGTTATTGGACTAATTTATAAAATAAATATAAATAGATCTTTAAGAAATAATGACTCTCGGCAGTGACAAGAACAGGAGAAATATTTGATCAGACACATTTATTTCAGCATGATACCCATAGATACCAAAATGTGCCCTTATTTCTACCTTGATTTCTGTCTCTGAGTTCATTCCATACATTTCAGCCAATTAGCATAATTTAAATAAACCAGAGATCTCATCCATTGCTTACATCTAAATAACCCCAAGGTGTTCATGGTTCCATTGATTTACATCTTAACACCATATCAAAAGGAACTTTCTTGAAAGACTCAAAGCCCAACAGATAAAGACAGCTCTTTAGAATCTGGGGGATACTAAGGCTTCAGTATTTGTTAGTTTTAACTTTGCAAAGTGGTTTGTGCAGGTAAACACAAGCTGCTAATATTAGTGGTATTTGAGTCTTAATTTCGACGCTACCTCACCCATAGAATTACTATGATTACTAAACATACCTTAAAGTAGATAATGAGAGCACTAATTAGCACACTGATGCTCTGAAATACATCCCCAAGGGCGTGCACAAAAGCTGCTCTGACACTGGCATTAGCTTGTACATCCTTGTGGTTGTGGCCAAGGTGCCGTTGGTGCAGGATTGCAGTTAGTCTGAAAGAGAGAACAATGTTCCTGACACACATACAATAAGCCTTTAAAAGCCTACACAGCAGAATGGAGGAGTCACCTGTAGCATTTATTATCTAAACTGTCAGGTAATTAAAGTATCAGTGCCTTACGTTGGACTTATATTTGATTATAAGTATATCTTAGAACTTTTAAAAACTCCCAAAAGGAAATATTTCAAACATTCACCTCTGTTTCCTGGAGAATTCGCCAACATAATGCTATACTGTTCCACACTATAATTGAAAAGCATTGCTGCTCTCATGAAAACCAAACATTAGTCCAATTAGATGGCTCTTGGTTGCCCCCAACATGTAAATGCCACTATTGCAACCCTGAGTATACCTTGCTGAGCTTATCATTATGGTTCCTAGGCTTTATAGCTGGCTCAGACTATTGGTGTTATCTCCCTTGGCAGCTTGTATAGAACCTTTAAATTCTATGAGAGTTAGTCCACCGGGAGAAGGCTTCCAGGTCAATACTAGCTCAGTTCCTCCTGTCTACAAAGCACATGGTGTCTTCAGCAATAAGATCTTCAAGTTCTGGGAGGCAAGCAAGAATAGCAATAGCTTATATTTTTGAGGAATCTCTTGGTCTCCCTTGACCAACACTCAAAAGGAGGTTTCTCATGTCTGATACTGGTGTTTTGTTATACAGTCTATGGCTTTCGGAGGGAATTTATCAGTCTAAGTGTCTATATGTTTATGTGCTCATGTGTGTGCCAGTGCTTGTGTATGTGCCTGCTCATGTGTGCATGTACTTGTGGATACCAGAGAACCACCTTGGTTCAGGAGCTATCTACCCTGTTCTTGAGACAGGGTCTCATTATTGTGAGACTCAATGATTTGGCTAGGCAAGCCGACCAAAGGACCCCTGCCTTTGTTTCTCCAGCATTGAGATTACAAACCACTATGCCTAACATTTTCCTATGGCTTCTAGGGGTCAAATTCAAGAACTCAGGCTTCTGATGCAAGCACATTACTGACTGAGCTATCTATCCTGCTCCCAATGTTAGAATCTTTAATTTTTTTTATTGTGTTTAATTTGGTTCATTTGAATGATTATTTGAAATCTGAATAATTTTCTAATGGCCAATAAAGAAAATACTAGGTCTGCATATATACTTATTCATACAGCAACTGAAATCATCTGATCTAGTATAAAGAACTTGTATATGTACAAACACGTATAGTAACATATTGCAAAGTTTAGCATGACTCTTTCAAGCAAACTGAAGAAAACATCACATATGGGCAAAGTATCTGTTAAATCTCAGGCCATAACCAAAAGCAGAATCACAGATACCCACCAAGATTTGATCATTCCATAATGCAGTTTTCAGACTGTCAGTATTTGGATAGAAATTCACTGTCAACTATGAGTTACCATTCCACACGCCCCAGATGGCCTGATAAGGCTGGCAGTCTATGGATCTTCTAGATCTGTTGTTTATGTTCATCACATTGTCATTCTTTCTTTTACTTGTTTTATTTTAAGATGATGGGGAACATATATTTAGGCACTGTTAAATATTTGTACCACACACTGGGCATGATATCTCCCTAGCATACATGTATGGCACAGATAGCAGGGATCACACACACACACATTTATGTTCATGTCTACTAAAAATAGCCACTATGGTTGTACCAGAAGAGGAATCTGGTTTCGATACACACAGCAACTGGGCTGAATTCACAAATTATGCAGAAAAACTTTTCCTTTAGGGCTCTGTCTACAACTTTATCAAAGACTCTTCACAGTTGTTCTTGGAACTTTCTGTCCTGGTTTGGGGTTCCCAAGAAGCAGATTTACTCCCAAATTTCAGTTCTGATATCTCTGCATATTCCAACAACACAGCATCTAGCAGTCCTTGAAACTTACATTCTCAGTTCCTGGAAGAAACATTCTAGTCACTCTGTCCCTTTATCCATAAATAACCACCTGCTCACTTGCTCAGGGAAGGCCAAGCAACCAAGCAGGCTGTCATTCTAAGTATGAAAAGTACTTGCAATGGTCAGGGCAATGCTCAAAAGCAGCTGCAGTAAAAAGAAAATCTGGATGGTATCTATTGTAAAGATCAAGATCTACCCTAAAGGGCCCAGATTTAATGTAGTAGTTGGCTGGGTTGATCTGCCATCTTTGCATACCTACATGAAGTATGACTCTTTGGAAATAATTAATACTTTCATTTTTCCTACTGCTTTTGGGACATACTGTTCTCCTTATGTGAAGAGGTTATTATTTACCCCCAGTGAGCAGGACACGTGTTCTGAGTGTTTATCTCCTAGAGAAGACAGACTCACATTCACCTGTCTGCATTCTTTCTTCCAAAGTAAAGCTAGTTTCAAGTTAACTCCTAGAAGATAGGCTCTAGCCAATGGCAGAAGAACATTAAATACCATTTTTAACTTTCAGTTCAGATATTGTGCATATAAACTATGAAGTAAAAATGGAGATGCCTAAATATGACTCATATAATAACCCAAGGGAACATTTTCAAACCATACAAGTTAGTGTGTCTACCAATTGCAAAGATCCCATCATGCCTTCTCTTAAAAAAATGCTGTATCATTTCTATTTCTTCAACCACTGTCAAGTCTTTGATGTCAAATCTCCCTTGTGAAATGTATCAGTCTGTCTTGGAAAACAGAAAGATGATTACTTGGTGCTAGAGGTGTTTAAAACTTTGAAGGTGTGTGTGTGTGTGTGTGTGTGTGTGTGTGTGTGTGTGTGTGTGTGTGTGTGAGTGTGTGTGTGTGAATTTTCACATAAAATTTACCAGTTAAAAATCCTTGATTTGACTATTCAAAATGTTCAAAATGCTCCAAGTTTCAGAATCTTGAGCTTGAAACGTATTCCAAAGTTTCAGGTTTCATGACATTTTAGAATTTTGGATCAGGAATGCTCAATCTGTATAATATTTTCATTTTACTGAATTACTAAATTACCAAAATACTTTAGGAGCTTAAAACAACATGAACTCATTATCTTAGAGTTCTGGAGATGAGAAGTCTGAAGTAGGTTTGGGAGGCTGAATTCTTTCTGAAGGCAATTGTGGAGGGATTTCTTTTTCCATAACAACTTTTTATGTAGTAGCATGTTGTAAGGCTAAAATAGAGTTTGATGGAAGGAAAACCCCCATTTTTGCTTTGGTTGAAATATACAAAGGTGATGGCCACTTTATGAAAATACAGCAAGAGAGACCTTGAACACAGAATCCACACTACAGTCGATAATTTCTGAGGTCTCCGTCAATTCATCAGTCTGAGAATTCATAATCTACTTACCTAACAAAAGTTGAACCATTTGGAAGCCACATCCCATGGGTCATTAACACACATAAGAAAGTAGAGAGGATGGAAACTCTATTCCAAATACATGGATCTAGATTCAAATCCTAAATCCTCACTACCTAGTTAACATAACTGAGCTTCCCTTTCATACTTGGTGGGGTTGAAAGACCACAAAATTCAATTTGATATGTACATCGCAAGATCCTTTCCCACCCTCTGGCATGCTGGAAGCTTTCAAATATGGTAGCTAGTGGAAGCCATTGTTTGAAAACTCCTTAATCTATAGTGAACGACACTATTTTCAATCTTAGTGGCACTCAAACACCATGTCAGAACTTTGGCATCTTCACAGACACAGGAAATGTTTTTTTCATTTTAAAACTATTTCTCTAGATAGGACTGAAGATAAGCCCAATAGACACTCGGCATGGGATGACTTACACAATGTTGGCTGCCACTGCACAGCCTGAAACAATGATCATGATGCTTGCTTGAATCTGGTAATCAGGATACACCAGGCGCTCACAGGCAAGGTACACCAACACACCAGACACCACCCAGATGCAAAGGACAGACAGCAGGGCACCAAGGATCTCTGGGAGTCAAATTCACAGAAAGCAACATGAATATCACCCTTACAAACCCGAATCCCCACAAAAGAGTCAGAGACTCTTTGATCCTCCTGCCTATGAACATGGCCTCAAACTGTTTTTTTTTTTTTTTTCAGGGACTCATGAAGCAAAAGTATGAATGGATTTGAGAGCTGAGATGAGGCACTTTAGCACGGCATCCATAAAACACGAACATCAGAATTCATTATGCTCCCTGTTACTGAGTCATTTTCAGCAAATTTTTAGAACATATTAATTGCCGCCTGCCCTCCCTGTTCTCCTTGGGGATTTTAATTTACACAGGTGCTAAAATGATGGAAACTTATTAGAGGATGAAATAATGAGATACGACGAGTAAAATGTGTTTAGAAACTCTTCATTTCACCATAAAACATTTACAACTTGCCAGCACTGGCACCTTTAGAGGAACAAGCTAGTAAAAACGGAAAGCTTCAGAGTGTACTTTACGAAAATGGGTTTCATTTGCCAACCGGACATATTGTAAACACAGAGGCGAACTCAAGGGCTTCTCTGCACTCCAACTGCTTTTTAAGAGCAACTGCAAGGAAAAGAAACATCAAAATGGAAACATTTGCATTAATATTTGAAGATAAGCGCGATCTCAGTGTGCTTGTTTAGGAAAGAAAGTACTTTAGCTCACATGAACCTTCCTTAATACCTTTCCCTGTTCTCTCACTCAGCCTCGTAGATAGATTTTAAAAACCCACAAGGGTCTAGAAATACCCTGTGAGCCACTGATCAGGCAAATTCTATTATGCTAGTCTCTGCTCTCTGCCCTGATCTCATTGTGTTGCTATGACAAACACCAACTTAGGGGAGGCATGGGTCTTTTTGGCTTAACTTCCAGGCCACAGTCGGTCACTGAGGGAAGTCAAGTCCAGAACTCCAGCAAGAGCTTCAACTAGGAACAATGGAGGAATGCTACTTGATAGCTTATGTTTAGTTAGCTTTCTTATACAGTGCAAAACCAGCAGCTTAGGGAATGGTGCCACCCACATTAGGCAGGGCCCTCTCACAGCAATCAAGAATATCCTCCACAGACATGCTCACAGACCAGTCTGCTCTGGGCAATCCCTCAGCTGGGAGTCCCTTCTCAGGTGACTCTAGGCTGTGTCAAGATGACAGTTAACACCAACTACAACACTCCCTCTACATTATTCCTACACAGTAGGTCCTATTAAAGCAAAATCATGTACTATTCCTCACTATGTGGCTATCGCTTCCCAGACTTTAGTCATTTATATATGATCTTCACTATTTTGACACATTCATGCACCACTTATTGATATTAGTCATTTTGCACTTTTCTCACATCAACTCACTCTTTATGCTTAGATTCTTCCTGAAGTTATCCATAAAATTACAAGTTTGGTGCGCTACTGTATGTTTCATGCATAATAGAATGCGTATGTGATTATTGCCCATGCAACACTCAAAACATTTGATGGTCCATCCACGGAACATTTTCACACTATAGGTAGTATTGATGCAGAGATGCATGCAGGACTTGACTTCAAGTATCTCACCCACATGGTATACCAATGACTGCCTATCTGGCTTTATACAGATGAGAGTTTCTTTATCTATAAGGTAGATTTTTAAAATAGTATATGGATACAAGTTGGCTTGTGTTGTGGCTTGAATTATGTCCCTCAAAGATTTGTATGTTAAAAAAAAAAAAAAAAAAAAAAAAAAAAAAAAAAAAAAATGTTAGCCGGGCGGTGGTGGCGCACGCCTTTAATCCCAGCACTCGGGAGGCAGAGCCAGGCGGATCTCTGTGAGTTCGAGGCCAGCCTGGATTACCAAGTGAGTTCCAGGAAAGGCGCAAAGCTACACAGAGAAACCCTGTCTCAAAAAACCAAAAAAAAAAAAAAAAAAAAAAAATGTTATTCGTTGGTCGGTAACTCATATTGTCACTTTGTTTGGAAATGGGGTCTTTGCACCCAACTAGTTAAGATGCAATCATTTTGGTATAGGATGTTCCTATAATCACATATGGCTGGTTTACTTATTCTAAGGGGAAGTGTGGAAATAGACATGCATACAGAGAGAGTGCAAGACAATATGAAGATCAAAGCAGAGATATTTAAGCCAAGAAACAACAAAGATTGGCAGCAAGCCACCAGCAGGTCTGAGAGAATTATGGAACTGGTTTTCACTGACAGACCTCAGAAGAAAACAACTTTACTCATGCCTTTATCTCATACTTTTGTTTTTCTAGACCTCTGAGAGAGTAAATGTCTCTCTGAGCTGTCCAGTGGGAACCTTGCTGTTAAATCTGGTTCAGGGAAACATACACCATTAAACAAACTCTCAAGAATTACTATTTAATTAGTTAGATTGTTTAAAGCTCCCTTTGCTGAACTTAATGAGAATCAGGCTAAAAAAATTTCTACTTAGCCGGAAACAGAGACTGGATTCACAGATGGTGAGTAGTATGTTTCCTATCCACTGGGGGATCTAAATCAAGATATTCAAGTTGAGCATGTCCCATCCTAAGCCCTTGTTTAGAAATGTCTAGTGAGAAAAGAACTAGGTGAATAAAGCTCTCATACCAAGCTCAAGGATCAACAGGTAGATCTAAACATGAGGTAGGGATCCAAAATCAACTAGCTAGAAAAAGAAACACGTGAGGAAACGTGGGCAAGTGCTACCATGGTTTCCAAGAAACCAGCTCAAGGCCAGCAGATTAGCCAGACTGGGCTGTGGATTCACATGGCCCACCTATGTCTCTAGGTAGTGCTTCACATGGTAGCCACCAATCATGTACATCCATTTAACTAGACATATAATTAAAAATATTGTCAATATATCCTACCAGTCACATTTAAAGTTCTCAATATTTATATCATGCACTGTATTTCAAAATATTTTACCTAATAGCAGAGAGTTTTATTGAACATTCTTGGCCTTTTAGAATACTAGGGCTCATAGATTTCCATGGTCAAGGCGACATAGTCTAAACCAGTGATTCTCAACATTCCTAATGATGTGACCCTTTAATACAGTTCCTCATGCTGTAGTGACCCTCAATCAGAAAATTATTTTCAATGGTACTACATAACTGTAGTTTTTCTACTGTGATGTAAATATCTGCAGCACAGAATATCTGATATGTGATCCCTGTGAAAGGGTTGTTCAAGCCCCTCCAAGGAGTAGAGAACCACAGAGGTTAAGAACCACTAGTCTAAACAATGATGGAAAATTCTGGGTCTACTCTCTCTTAAAAAGAAAACACTCTAGAGAAACAAAACTGTTCTAATAATACCAGAAGGTGTTGAACACATATAAAAATTTGTACTGACAAAGGCTGAGATCTCAACCAAACTCACATGGCTTCCAAGGGTCCAGGGACGGATACAAGAGTTCTCTAAACTCATTCTCACAAACTTTCTGATGCTGTTCATTTCTCTCTGGATGTTGAAGGGAAACCAATCCAGAACACCTGCACTGATAAACTGCTTCGTATGAAGACAGAGTTTCCTAGTATTCTAACTTCAAAAACCAATAGTTCACATTGTCAGTGAACAACCTGTGGTTTGTGGCAACCAACATCTTTCACTGTGAAGGTTGGCCATGAGGGTTACCCATGCATTGCCATTAGATCTCCTTTGCCTTGACTTCACAGCCAGTGCGAAATCATAGAGCTGTAACTATGTATTTCCAAGACTGGCACAAAACATTTCAACAGAAACTCCTCCAGCTAATATATAAACTCCTCCTGCAGAGAGGGGACATCGATCTGTGATATATGTGGATGAGTGAGGGGGATACTGTAAAAAGAACCCATAGTAAACACTTTCCAGAAACTGGCTGCCTCCTGGGCAAAAGCAGGCAGTCACTCGAAAAAGAAACAGCTCTGAGAAAGGACAAAAGAGTGGATTTTATGTCCTCTTCTTCTTTCTCATCATCAGCATTTTCTTCCACTTTATTGTTGTTGGTGATTAAGTGAACAAGTATTCAGCTGTGCCATGCATTCTCTGAATGGCTGTCCTGGTGCATTTTCTGCTGCTATAACAAAATACTATAGGCTAGGTAATTTATAATGAAAGGACTGTTTTTTCCTCACAGTTCTGGATGCTGGCAAGTACAAGACCAAGGTTCTTGAAGTTGGTAAACATTTCTATGCCACATCATAGAATGAGAGACAAGCAAGCAAGCGTGTGTGAGGCAAGGGAAAGAGGTTATTCTGACCTCACCCTTCCTATCAGAATTCCACTCCCACAATAACAGCATTGACCCACTAATGAGAGCACAGCTCTCATGACTTCATGAAGTCCCATCTCAACACCTTGCCAACAGTCATTAAATTCCAACATGAGATCCGAAGGCAGCATTCCAGCCATAGGAATGACTAAATGCTGTGTGTGACTGAGAAAGCCCCATATCTCAGGCCTGACTCCCTGGGGAGAAGTCCTTCCCTGGGGAGAAGTCCTTCGCTCCCGCCACTCTCTTGGACTCTGTGGCTCTAGTTTGTAACGTGGCAGAAGCTTCTTTGCCTTTATCATCTCTCTCAAGGATGCAGAGTAACTGAAAGAACATTTCCTAGTTGCTGCTACACAGAGACCCTGGGGATGGTGCAGCTGCTAACATGATACACATATTCTTGTTGTCCCACAGGAGGGGAAGCACTTCGATGAATCTTGCTGTCAGCTGAATTAATGTTGAGAGCACACATTCCCACATGGTTATTTTATCCTGAGCACCAAACTTGTGGCCCAGTGGGAATTTTTGAACAGGGCTTTGCACTTTATCTTCCTTTTTTTAATGCCTGTTTGACTCCGTATCACTGTGCATTCATTAATGCACAATCATAGACCTTTACCTGCTCGGTACCACCCAAAGGTCAGCCGTTTGGAGGGAGGCCGTGATGACAACCATAAGGAAAAGAGACTGAGCAGGAAACTCGTCAGGTCAATTAAGAGATGAGCAGCATCAGTGAGGATAGCTAGACTCCCAGCAACGTATCCACCTGCGAAATGCATAATAACACACAGGGTTGAAGGCCCAGAATGCAATTCTACTCATATGCATATTAAACATTGTTGACTCACACAACTAGAGAAGAAAAAAAAGTTATCCGAGTAAAATTAACCCACTTCTTTTTCCCAATTTGAAAAATAACTGCGACCTTAAAAGTAAATAAAATTGAACATGTAAAAATGAATGTTAAGGGAGCCATTTCGAAGGCTGTGGAAACACAGAGATAGGAATTTTGAGGTCAATAGAGACAACATCTCAATTAGGCTAGGCAGGAGGCCTCGGGAATAGGCCTACTAGTACACATGGCTGAGGAGGTGTTAGCTAGATTCTCAGGGTCTCATAATCCAGGTTGTAGACTTGACCTTCTATCTGGAAAACAGTGTTGCATCAGCCCACAGACTTGTTATTTATCTGTAATTTTACCATCATCTTTTCCGCTTCCCTTTGTTCTGCTGAATTATACTACCCAGCTGCACTGGAGATGCACGTTATAAATAGCGGGAGAGCAGAGCTGAAAGGGGAAACGGAGGCACAGTGCCATGGACATACCAAGGGCAAAAACGATCCAACAAAACTTAGGGTAGAAAACCACGGGCACGTGAGGCCACCTTGCTTTTCTGGGCATTTGTGACATCTCTGTCTCTTCCCTCTAGTTCTCCTTTGAAAAGACCTCCAGCCTCTGAAGAGAAATGAAAGGAAAAGTGTGTCCTATCCTTCCCGAACAGGCCTTCTTGTCGGAGAGCAATAACCTTTATTGCTCGTACCACCTCTTCCCAGCAAAGAGCGCGTGCTGACTGATGAATCCTTCCCGCGGCTGTTTATTGCCTTGTGTACTCCAAAGCGGCAGAGACTGTCAGTCATCAGGCCCTCCATCATCAGACTCACCTTGTCTCGCCTAATGATTAAAAAAAATTACAGAGATGGCTCATAATTGCAATAATCCCCACAGACTGGTGGCTCGAGCTATACTTAATAACTGGTTTGTCAAAGTTTAATGGTCTGAAGCAAAGGAGTCTTCAAGCTTGTTACTGAGCTGTCGGTGCAAAACCCGGAATGATTCATTAGCTAAAAGGCAACATTTTGCTAACAAATCAGCTGTCCTTCCAATTATCCTCTAATGTTCCTCGATCCGCCAAACTCGGTCCTGATAATAAAGCTGTGTTAATAATGCATTATTTCTTGCCTGGAGAATGACTACATGCAGATAAGCAGCATGCTGCAATTTCAGCCATGAATGATGAGGATTCTAAGAGCCATGCTGAAATTGCCCACTAAGTCAAAGGAAGAAAGTCTTGGAGGAATTCCTTAGCAGGCTAAGCTAGTCAGGAAGCAACTGAGAATGAAGGGGGCTTGCTTTAGAAGAAACATGTTAATGTGGAGACCTGGGACCCACAATCATTTTCCAGCCATCACAGCTGGTAATAAGAACTATCCAGAACATTGTGGGCACTGCTGAATGCTACAGAGCAAACTGTTTGCAAAAAGGAGCATATGCCTTTGCTTCTGAAAGCATGGGGTATCATTAACCATTAATTCAACTATCCAGCCAGCATTTATTGAGCCCTTGCTGTGTGGGGTAGCATGGGCAAAGTACACAAAGATAAACAAATTACAATCCCTGTCTTCAGTGATCTCCTAACACTGTGCTGAAGACTTGCTGCTGGGTTGGGAATAGAGAGCCCTGCAGTATTGAGGAACTTTCAAAGAAGTACTGAGAGTTAACAAGAAATAATGGGGTTTCGTGAATAAATAGGAACATGGAAAAGAAAATAAAAGAATGTGCCACTTTTCCATAAAAATAGGAGATGCAGCAGATCAGAGGCCTATGGGAAATGAGACCCCAATGCTGGACTAGAGACAAAGGGACTATTTCATGTCAGGCAAGGGAAGCTGAAGGTTAACCTACGGGCTGAGGAGTTCTGCTTAGAATTTTTAGGCAAGGCCAAGGCATGTTTTGGTTTGTGTTTGAGAGAGATCTTTGGCAGCAATTTAGAGGCTGACTTGGAAAGAAACGAAGCTGGTGGCTAATACACATGGATCTGGAATGATTATATGATGTAAACTCAGAAAGACAAATATCATATGATCTTTCTCATATGTGGATACTAGCTTTTAGGGTGTGTGGGGGGGGGTATCTGTCTGTCTGTCTGTAAAAATGGGTGTAAATGTGCACAAGCTATGAAACTAGAAAGAAGACCATGAGATTAGATAAAAAGAATTATTGAGGAAGGGGAAGAGGGCAATACAACACAAGACAAGAAAGTTGAAGGGATGATATCGAGATAGAAGGGTCTAAGTGGGAAATAGGAACAGGAAGGTGAAGCGGGGACAGGAGAGAATCAACAACAAGAACAAAATGCTTCAGAATACCATAATGAAACTTAATACGCTGTGTGCTAATTAAAAAGACCCACACAACAGTAATTGCTGAAGGGAACTGTGGTGAATGGATGGAGCAGAGTGTTGTCAGTTCTATTTTTAGCCATGGCAAGATGTGTGCAGAATGAGCTTAGATCAAGGCAACACAGGCCCAGAGAGGTCTCAGCCCTGGAAACAGATCACGTGAGGCCCATGCAGTGAAGGTGACTGTGGAACACTGGGCCTGCATCTCCTAGACACAGACCCCTTCAGATTTAAACAGATGGCTTTAAATCCCTGTGGCATTTTCCATGGAAGAAGAGAAACGTTGGAAGTGCTGAGACTATAACTGTTAACCTGATAATATTAGCTTTTGTTGGGGCTTGAATGAGAATGGCCCTTACAGGTTCATATAGTTGAATGCTTGCTCCCCAGTTGGTGGAACTGCTAGAGAAGGATTAGGAGGTATAACTTTGCTGGAGGAGATGTATCCCTGAAGGTCGGCTTTGAGATTCCAAAAGTCTACACCATTCCCCCATTCCTAAGTAGCTCTCTCTGCCCTCATACTTGTGTCTCAAGATATGAGCTCTCAACTACTGCTCCAGCATCACCTGCTTGCCTGATGCCATACTCTTTGCCATGATGCTCATGGATTAAAACACTCTGAAGCCATCAACCCCAAGGAAACTCATTCTTCTACAAATTGCCTTGGTCATGTGTCTTATCATGGCAATAGAAAAGTAGCCAAGACAGCTTTGTATCCACTACTGAGCTACACCATTGTATGCTGTTAACTCATATTTAAGAATTACTTAGCATCTGACAGAGGGCTGATCTCCAAAATATATAAAGAATTCAAGAAACTAGATATCAAAATACCAAATAATTCAATTAAAAAATGGACTACAAAGCTAAACAGAGAATTCTTAACAGAAGAATCTCAAATGGCCGAAAGACATTTAAGGAATTGTTCAACATCCTTAGTCATCAGGGAAATACAAATCAAATCAAAATGAGTCTGAGATACCATCTTACACCTATCAGAATGGCTATGATCAAAAACACTGATGACAGCTTATACTGGAGAGGATGTGGAACAAGGGGAAACTCCTCCACTTTTGGTGGGAGTGCAAACTTATACAGCCACTTTGGAAATCAGTATGGCGACTTCTCAGAAAATTGGGAATCAATTTACCTCAAGACACAATGATACCACTCTTGGGCATATATCCAAGGGATGCTCAATCATACCACAAGGATACTTGCTCAACTATGCTCATAGCACCATTATTTGCAATAGCCAGAACCTGGACACAACCTAGATGCCCCTCAAACGAAGAATGGATAAAGAAAATGTGGCACATATACACAATGGAGTATTACTCAGCTGTAAAAAAAAAACAATGACTTCGTGAAATTACCAGGCAAATAGATGGAACTACAAAATATCATCATGAGTGAGGTAACCTAAACTCAGAAAGACAATTATTGTATGTACTGACTCATAAGTGGATACTAGATATAAAGAAAGGATAACCAGACTACAACCCACAGCTCCAGAGAAGCTAGCTAACAAGGAGGACCCTAAAAGGGACACATAGATTGCCCTGGGAAGGGGAAATAGATGAGATCTCCATGAGTAAACTGGGGATGGGGGGAGAAATAGAGGATAAGGGATGGGGGATGAGAACACAAGAGAACAGGATGGTCAGGTTGGAACAGGGACAGAGTGGGAGAGCAATGAAAGAGATACCTTGATAGAGGGGGACATTTTGGGGATAGGGAGAAACCTGGTGCTAGGGAAGTTCCCAGGAATCCACAAGGATGACACCAGTTTGGACTACTAGAAATAGTGGAAAGGGTGCCTGAGGTAGCTTACCCCAGTAATCAGATTGGTGAATACTCTAACTGTCATCATAGAGCCTTCATCCAGTAACTGATGGAAGCAGATGCAGAGATTCACAGCCAAGCACCAGGCTGAGCTCCATGAGTCCAGTGGAAGAGAGGGAAGAGGGATTCTATGAGCAAGGGACATCAAGATCATGATGGGAAGTCCTACAGAGACAACCAAATCAAATTAGTGGGAATTCATGAACTTTAGACTAACAACTGTGGAGCCTCCACAGGACTGGACTAGGCCCTTTGCATAAACAAGACAGTTGTATAGCTTTATCTGTATAAGGGGCCCCTGGCAGTGGAATCAGGAGCCATCCCTGGTGCATGAGCAGTCTTTTTGGAGTCCATTACCTATGGTGGAACACCTTGCACAGCCATGATGCAGGGGGAGGGGCTTGGACCTGCCTCAACTGAATGTACCAGGCTCTGCTGACTCCCCATGGGAGGCCTTACCTTTTCGGGGGAGGGAATGGGGAGTGGGTTAGGGGGAAAAAGCTAGGGGGCAGGAGGAGGGAAAAGAGGGAGATCTGTGGTTGGTATGTAAAATGAATAAAAAAAATTTCTTAATAAAGAAAAAAGTATATTGGAACATCAATAAAAGAATGACTTAGCTATCATATGGGTGGCATTTTATTATACTGTACTATTTAATATGTGTCAAAACCTTGAGTTACTATTTAGCAAGTATTTAAAACATACCACAGTTTTCAAGGTCCTGTTTTAAAATTTTCCTAG